CATATGCTGTGTGACTGTGAATTGCTCTTTGATACATCAGTTGTTAAAGTTTAATATCCCAAAGAAATGAAAGCTGGGACATTCATCCCTGACCATCTGCACCTCCTGTTAGCCTCCTGAGACTCCATCTGATTTCCCTTTCCTTTTACACCCAGACACCACTGGCCCATATCTACTATCCTTCCAGCTAACAAAGACTTGGAAAATTTTGGCACAAGTTCCAGACTCTGTCTGGCTTCCTTTTGTCAGTCCTGAAAGGGGCCAGAAAACGGGAAAGATCCCTTGCAATCCTAATCTGCGAGATACAGGAGACGTTCCTGGGTGAGAGCTGCCTGCCACATATGCCCTTTCAGACCTCTGGGACAGGGTGAGTTGCAGAGCAGGACAAGCAACTGATTTGGAGGATGATAATTTTAGCTAGATTCCATTCTAGCTATCTTTGGGTGTCAATATGTTTTCTTAGGTACTAAGATGACCATTGTTCAGAAATCACTCACAGCTAAATAATCTGAGAGAGACCTGCTGCACCCACTGTCCAAGTGAGGCTGTACCTGCTGTCCAAGCGTGGCTGCTCAGGACCAAAATGCGGGTCAATGGGTGACACAGATACTGGTTGCAGCTGGTAAGGTCTCCATAGCCAGAACAACCACAGTCCCAAAATTTGAGTTTAGAATGTCCATTGCCATCTTTATCGGCCCCTTCAGAGATTCAACTCAGAATCAAGGGCTTAATCTGTCATCATCAAATGTAATGAAGAAATCTTTGCGACTTTGTGATAGAAGACGAGTGACCCCTGATCTCTAGCTTTTGTTCTGTTTCCACATGATAGTTCCTCTCTAATCATAACCAGATGCCACCTTTTACACTGGCACAAGTGGAACTAAACACTTGATATTTGTGTCTGATCTGCTTCTTGTTTTGAATTATTGCCCCCTTCTTCATGCTTCCCATTTATTTTTCATTTTTAAATTAATCACTTATTTACATTAGGCAAACTAAACTAACCTTGCAGAAGGTTAAAAAGACTGAGAGAGAGACCTCCAGAGTTGTCCTACCTATAGGACTTTCCTCAAGATTTAAACAAAACAATTGGATCGGTCTCTTTCTGCTTTACTCTTTATAACTTGTAATGTATCAAGGAGGTTTGAAAGAAGCAATTGTTTTGTTTTTAAGATTCTTTCTTAAATCTTGCTCACTTTTGATAATAATCATTTAACTCTTTCTTTCCCCTAGAGGAATCAAAATTTACATTTCCAATGTAAAGAAATAAGTAGAGAGTTTGAACAACTAATAGGGTTATTAATCATAGGGATAATAATAAGGTTAAGAATCAGAGGTATGCAGATTAAATGAGTAAAATCAAGATGAACTTCTATTGTTACTGAGAAGGACTTGAGAGAGAAGTTATCTTTGCTAAAGGTAACAGAGCCCTGGCCCTTCACATAAAATTCAGTGAAGCTTACAGTTTCACAGGTCAAGCTCCAAGAAAACCCGGTCAAACCACTGAAGCCTGGACTGGATTTGAAAGGTCAAAATGGAAGGAACAGGGAAGATTTCAGGCCTTCTTATTTAGCACAGAACTAAAATGGCTATGATTCTCTCACTTTTTTTCATGGTATTTTAACTTTCATATGACACTCTTTAAGGCTGTACAAAAAATTGTTCTCCTATATCCAGCAAACTGATACTGCTGCCAACCCTCTTACTGCCATTCTCACTTCCTCTATTATCCTTGGAGCTTGACCAGTTCCTCTAACTATCTCTGATCCGCAGGAGCTTTCTCCTTGCTTAATGTGACATATCATGAAAAGTGCTACTTAACATACACTGGTGATAACAATTTGCTCTAATCAGCCAAGGAATGAGCGACACACAAGTGAAGGACTGGCTATTAGCACTAATTCCTGCCTCCTTTACTGGACTTGGCACAACAGAGCACATGCACAGTCTCACTGCAGATAGTTGGAAGAGAAAAGAACTAATCAACCTAAAGGATATTACTGGAACAAGAGCATATTTATTGACCATAGAATGGGTTTTTTCCTATAAAAATAGAAAGATTCTGGAAGAAACTCCCAAATAAAATAGGAAGCGGGCAGGATAGGAGAGAGAGAACAAGGAGAAAAGAACAAATTTTTGAATAGCAAAATCAGTTTATGAAAAGGATTGGGAACTTGGCTCCCTGCAGAAGCAGAGGACTGGACTCAGCAGCACAAGGTCATTTTCAATTCTGTTTCCTTTTTTTCCTCTCCAAAACAGAATTGGTGGGGTCTGATTCTAAAGCAGTCTGTTTTCTCTGCATTTCCCTGTGCAAACGTGCAAGTTAAAATGCATGGCACCTTCTTCCCACACTCCAACAAGGACAACAGCACAAGGATGTAAGCTGTTGTGCGCCACATGACAAGTATAAATTAAGGATGTTTTAATATGCATTCCATGAGGCAGAAAATTTCCCATACTTCACACAGCTTTACAAATAAAACATATCTCACATGATCAGTCACAAATAAGACATAGTCAGACTGGAATCAAGCAGGTAGCATGCAAGGGCAAAACACTAAAAATGCATTCTTACCTTTCGCTTTTCTAAGGAAATGAGACTCATGTTCATGTTTGTCCACACCAATCTGCTCCGAATAACTCTGGGATTTGTTCATAAATCTCAGTCAACTTTGACAGAGAGCCTTGAAGATATATAATTCCTGCAAGTGAAAACAGATAGCCAAATAAAGGAGGCAGATTATTTATCCCTCATTGAAGACATAGGCTAAATATGAACTCAATCTCCATGAAGTATCAGAGGAACTCTGTTGAAACACAATCCAAAATATAAATCCATAGAAAAGAAGGTTTCACTGTTTACAGAACTACTTGTATTGAATGAGATCACAGAGAGATAACATCAGTATGACAGAATCTAATCACCACTCAACAAACATTTTGGAAACAAGTCAGCAACCACATCTGCTTCAACAGAACCAGAGCCTCATGTGACAGGAAGCTTATTAGAGACCCTGTCTCTCATTATTTTGTTCTTGCTTATAACTTCCCAGCATGAATATTCAGTATTGCAAAATAAAGCGGTTTCCTTCACAGAGTTTCCAGAATGAAGAAAGAAATTGGGCCAGACATTCCAGATCCTGAAGAAATTGGTGCCTGTGGAGCTATGGATTTTTACCAGCAAAACATCTGGCACAATATAATGTTCAACATGAGGAATTTGCTTCTCTTTCCTCTTGTCATTGGTGTGAGTCAAGAACAACTCCACTGAAGTTCACTTGATATATCAAGCCTAAAAACAGGACAAAAGAGAAGAAAATCAGCCCTTTAAACATAACGAGACATCTTAAAGGAATATAATGTGAAATACCTTATTTACTCAGTAGCATTAAATGTTACATTGTGAGCCAAATTTCCTGGTTAATATGGGTGGAACAATTGCTGTATAATATTCTGAATCCAGTTTAGGAAATCCCATGCGATGCTCTTTCATGCCTTTTTGTGCCAGGAGCCTCTGGAGAAGTAAATTCAAGACATTGGAGATCTGTAACACGACATGATCTGAAAATCTCATCAGGAGCGAAGGCAACTGGCCTGAGTCCCAGCAAGGGTAATGGGAGCCCTGTGTGCTCAGCCTTTCTTAGCTTTTCTTTAAATGCTTCCTAAAGTGAAAGGAGTTAATCTCCAACACCTCTAAATTGATGGGATGTCTATATGATTCGCCTCTGCTGCCTCGTTATTGAAGTAAAAACATGCAAGCCTGCCCTTCCTCATGGTGCCCAGCAGTGGCTTGTGATTTGGAAGACTGGGGCTGAGGATCTCTTAAGGGCACTTCTATCTGTTGTATGGCAACAGTCAGTAGGCAGTGATCCCATTTCCCCTTCTCACTCTTCAACTGTGCAGGACTTTTTCTTGCACATAAAGCAGGACTGGCAGTGGGATCTGTCAGTGCTGAGCAGTGGGTTTCCATTCACTTCCCTGGACAGGGAGGTCTTGGATGGATGTATCCGCCCTAGGTCCCTTCGGGGACAGAGAGGTTCCGTACAGACAAAAACTCTCCAACAGAGTTGCCCTCTGCAGACATATCAGACAATCTCTTCCTTAACTGTCTGGATGACTGCTCTTTCTTCTTTCCCCACCACCTTGAGGACAGACAAAAAGCCTTTCAGGGAGGCCTTAAGCTAGCACTGCTATCTCAACCCCACAGATGCCAAAGTGATATTTACACTCTTTTTGCTCAACTAACTGTCACACCCCAACAAAGGGACTGTAATGGGTTGCACCAGGCAATAAACCATCCTCTACTGGGTCTAGAAACAGGGAAGCAGGGGAGGGAATGCAAAGCTGGAACAAGGCACAGACACAGAGCAGGTCCAAATACTTCCAGGAACTGGTTTATCCAAAGATTCGATACCAGATGTTCTATTCAGACAACTTTGTTATAACAGAGCTCCATAGATTAAATACGTCTCATGTTTTCAGTATTCAAACCAGTCCATCTAGGTACCGCTGCCACAGGGCACAAACAAAACGGTACTTAGTATTAATCAAAGAAGCGAGTTCTGCTTTGCAAGTCCAATATAAAAAGAATAAGAGCAAACACATGCTAAGTTGTTCCTGGGAACGCTGAACACAACAGAGAGGCTGTCTTGGATTACAGCATTTCTAACTTATGCCAGCCCATCGAAAGTCTGGTTTTAGGGAGTATACATTAGTGATACATTAGTACAAATATTGTGCTAAACTGGAACACTCTGGATCTTTGATTTATAAATATCCTGTTCATTACACAACAAACATTCCAGGTTCCTTGTTTACCTGGAGTTTCGATAGATTCTTGCACAGCTACTATTCCATGGAAAAGTTGCATGCTTTTCCTCGCACACCTAATTGGTTATTACTTCTTTGCAGAGAATACTGTTTGCCTTTTCCTCAGACTTTTGCCCCTTTCTGGTCTCATGGACTCCTTGCTCTCCTATTAGTTTTTCTAGTCTTACTTCTGGCCTACCAAAAGCCTACAGCCATAGGTGATAAGAAGAACTACTGCTGACTGCATGTTTCTGTTCAAAATCTTTTTCCCAATCTTTTTCCTTCTTGAAACCCAGGGTTATCTCCGTGTGTCCAGCCAAGCTATACGGGGCTGCAAAGATGGAACAGAGGCAGCTGAAGTTACTTCTCCCTGATTCTCTCAGCTGTCAGTGCGACTTTCTAGCCTCTTTTTGCTGATCTTACTCTGTAAAGCAGAAGGATCAGAGGGTAAAGATCTGGCCCAGTCTCCTCTCTCTGCCATAGCTTATTTCTTTTGTTGCCTCGACTTGCATACTTTGCTTATCAAGCTCCATCTCCTGCCACCTCCACCTCCTCCCGCTTGTTTTGAGCCAATCAAAACAAGATTGATTGGCTCCCTCAATCTTCCGTATTCCCATTTCAGAATACAGCTCTTTTCTAGAAGACATAATCTGACCTGTCTCATTGGGCTTCCAGGTTGTCTCACGTCTTTTTGAAACGGTGACAACTTTGCCACTCTTCCCTCAGAAGTAACTTCTGTACTGACTGTAAACTATCTTTTATTTAGATCATCATGCCCTCCCACAAGTGTAACTCGACTGTGGGATGTGTGGAGACCCCTTTGTATCAATGCCATTGAGCTCTTCTGTATTTACTCCGGTTAGACACTTGATGGTGCTCTTTGCACTTTCACGCCAGCAAAAGAGCTTTTAAAGTAAGCAAACTCCCTCTTCTCACGGGAATTGCAAAAATTCCCCAGTGTAAGATGCAGTTACATGTCTCAGCCTCTAAAACCTTTGGGAAGAGCATGTTCTGACTACACAGCATGTAGCGGAAGCTGCAGTGGAAGAGGCTCAGCTAGGTAAGGACAAATGGCAAATAAAATGTCACTGCCTATTATACACAAATCCACCAAGTGGCAGTTTTCAAATTCCTCCTCAAATACTTTATTTGCTAATTGGTTTCTTATCAGCGTTCCCCGTAGCAACAAGAGAGGTGTAAGTGGCATAAAGTGGACTGAATGACATTATGTCTGCATGTAAATGTAACTCGGGGATTGGGCATGGAGGAGATGATCTGAAGGAGGTTAACAATGTAATGTGAAACCTCCTGTAGCCTCAGAGGAGAATCAGAGCTTCTTAATGCTGCATGAATGGAGAAAGAGTAAAGTAGGAAAGCATACCCCAGCACCAAATATTTTGGAGAGATTCAAGCTGAGAGTCTATAGATCTTTTTACCTGCTAAGAAATACTCATTTTCATCAACAGATGTCTGTCTTCAGCTATTTTTCAAGGGAGGCTTGAAGCTTTCTGAAATTTGTTGAAGGTGTAATGAGTAAGCAAAGGAAAGAAACATAGCTTCATGGCAAAAACACAGAAGAGGGAGAAAGGAGATATTTTTACTGTTTTTTCCCCCACTATGCTGACTTTTGTGTATCCTTGGGCAAATCATGATATCTTTCTGTGTCTTAACTTCCTAGTCTGTAAATCTGAGATAACTCCTTCTCTTCTGGGTGTATTGTAAGGCTCTTTTTTTGTGTATCTGTGTCTAATGGACATGCCTCTGGAAAGAGGATGCCAGTAAAATGAGACAAGTGAGGAAACCATTGTAATTTCCAGAAGAAATCAGGGAAAACAGGAAATCAAAGGATTCATAAGGATGGGACAGCACTGATGAGAAACAGTCCAGCCACTGACCTAAGGTATGTTTTTTAAGTTTGTGTTGACAAGTACTTGAGTTTATCCATCTGTGCACAAATGGTACAGCTAGAGCCCCAGAAAATGCTCAGGAATCACTGTAGAGTCCCACTTGAAGCTAGACCTAAAGCTAGGCTTTTGGAGCATCCAGCGATCCTACCTGGATCAAACTGCTCAGAAAGGGAAGGATGCTGGGCCTGTTCAGCTGACGGATTTGCAGGAATCTAGAGACTCTCTGAAATCTTACTGCATCTCTCCAGTTGCCCAGTCACCTGTCTCCACAAAGACAGCTCAGTCTTCTTGGATATCATGTTCTCCTAAATATCTCCAAAAGGCAGTTCTGAAAGGGACACACTGAGAGTTAACAGTGGTTGGATTAATAAAACACTCCAAAGTGAGCCCTGCTGAAGTCTTAACATGGAAATCTTTTGGCTACACCACTTAATATGACACACATGGGACAATGAATTTCACGGCACTTGCAACGCTCCCTCCTTCTCTTGGCAAGTGGGCGCTGCAAGCATTAGAACGTATGGGATATCTGATCTGCTTGCGCCTCAGAGGGAGAAAATGGGATAAATGGCCCAGTCCTGCAGATCTGATATGACTGATCTTGTTGATGGTAATGAACTGGCCCTCTTAAGATTAGGAAGATGAGTGAATGAGATGCTGCTGCTAATATGGTCTGTTTTGAAAAATACTACTGTATGCAATACTTACCGTAACTCCCATTTTACTGTTTCCAGTTCCAAAATACCCATCTTAAAATAGCCTCAAAAAGTGTAACCCCCTGTTGTTATTTTAGCTTTTCAAAGAAAAGTAAAATCTCATGAGCAGAGTTCTGTCTCAGGTCCCCATTACCCTACCCTTGCTGTTGGGTCACGTTGGTCTTTGCTGGGTGAAGTCTGATGAACCTGTGGTGACGGACAAGGGCATTGTTGGTGCCTGCTGTCCTCTGTCGCTGCCATAACAGAGCTGGCAGGAGGGACTTTGTATGCCCACACTTCAACTGCTGCAATACAAAGTCCACCATCTCAGCTTAAATCACTGATAAAGGTGTATTTGGGCTAGGCCTAAACATCGTATGGCTAAACATAATCCTACGCTCCACTCTCTCTACTTTGCTACAAGTTATCCCTAACAGAAGGGCAGAGCTGTCTATAGGGCACCAGCAGTTTAAACCACTACAGGAAGGTTTGCCAAGGCTTTTGCTGAACCCCTTTGCATCCTACTCTGCATATCTGTAGACAGAGGCAGATAACTTCATTATACAGGTGTTGTGAGTCTGAATGGGCTAAGATATATGTTTGCATCTTCCAGTGAAGGACTGTATCAGTACAAAGCAGTATTGTTTTTGTGCCTCCCTACAACAACAATTCTAATGAAGTATCACTGAGCAAGGCTACCCAAAAGAATATGCTCTTAATGTGTCCTCTGTTATGCACACGTAATGAGTTTCTGATTCCCTGGTTATTTTGCAGGAAGAAAAATTCTTTAGTTCCATGGTACATCACAGTATTCAGTGAGGGCACCCCTTGAGACCCCAGAGAGCTTTCAAACCTTAATACAGACATCTTTCAAATGAGATCATTAATGTGCATATATATAGGTTCAGAGCCAATGCAAGCACTTAGATTTTTGCCTGCCAAATTTTCATTTTTGGCATCATTTTCTTCCCATATATTCAAAGAAGCGTACCACATGGAATCCTTTAAACAATAGAGTGGATAACAATTTTTCAATTGCTCTTGAAAAGGTTTTTAACCACATAAACTATTCTAGGGTTCGCTAAGAAGTTACCATTGCAAATAATGCAATCGTTCCAGACTGAATTGCTTGCGTTGCTGAATAACTTTTGAAGAAAAGAGCGTGACTGGTTTGGGATTTTTAACCAACCTCTTTATGGTTAATACTGAGAAGAACATAAATTTTCTCCAAAAGCTTTGCATTAAAGAGAAAGGACCAAAGCCTACAAACATTCTTATCTGCATAACCTATACTTAATGCCATCATCTCAACAAAAGGAATATAAATGTTTGAAAATTAAGGAACTAAACACTTTTTTTAACAAAAAAGGGGGAAAAATAGTTAGATACTGCAAAGAATCTAAACTCTGGCAAACCTAGAAATATATAAAGTGCGAGCAGTAACTTCTGGTTTCCCTCTTTCCTTCTTTTTCTAGCAGAACAAGCCCGTTACTTACCTTTTGAATGAACCCAAGACTTGCTATTGTGAGCAGCTGAGTCGCTCCTTAGAGATGTGTGCAACTTCTGTTCCCTTGGGCTTCACCTGGAGTTACGAACATACGTTTCTTCTGATCCTATGTTTACTTTCCATATTTAGGTTGTATCAGGTCTTTCTTGTTGCATACATCTACAGACAGCATCCCTTCATGATTTGTCCAATGAAGGAGACTGTTACCAAAATCCTCACTGTGTTACACCTCTAGGTAGAGTCACCAGGGACACACAAGCTGTTGCTCCTGAAGTTAGTTTTTCTGTGTGGTCAGGCAGAGGGTCCTCAGTTCTGCATTTCTCTTCCTCTATGAGTACAGTGGAGTCTAATCTTGGCAACCCACAAACAACTTCCCAAATCTACCTTGTTACTCAGCTTTCTTGGATGAATTCAGTTAAACTGCAGGTGTTCTATTAGATGAGTTAAACTGTGGAGCAGGGCCTGTAATTCACTGCATACTCCTACGATACCTGCCACAATGGAATCAAACTTGTCTGTGGCCACTAGGCAGCAAAGCAATATAAATGGGAAATAACACATTTCAGAAGTTCTTTTTGATCTCCATCAGCACTACAGGCCAGTTTCTCATTTCCCACACATCGGCCCATTTCCACTGAATTTACACCAGATGTAGACTTGTCCCTTGCGAGCCCAGAACTTTAGATTATCTTTTTAAAGACTATGCTTTTTGCAGAATCACGTTGGTTGTCATACAGAACAAGGTATCTTGTACCATTCAAAAGTATGTTTGTTGTCATACAGAACAAGGTTATCTTGTACTGTTCAAAAGTAAAGGAATTAGCTCTGTATTTTACTAGCCTCACTTCCTGGGCAAACAAAGCTTTGTGATCAGACACTTCATGGGTGTGATCACGGTCTTGGTTCTCTGATCATCCATGTGAGGGGACCTGCTGGAGCGTGCAGTAACTTCCCCCAGAGCTGTGTACATTGCTTCAAGTGGAAGTGAAATGTATGTACTTGGGTCTTTTCCTAACACAAAGCTGGGACATAGCCAGGGTAACTCAACCGGATATAGCTTCTGGGACTAGTTATACAGATATAAGCAGTGATAGTTACATTCTTCTAAGTGTACTGAAAAGAGGTACGTCAGCTAAGGTTAAAGTGCCCCAGCTAAGGGAAAAATGAACACACCAGACATCAGCAAGGCCACACAATGAGAATATACCCTTCTAAATGCTCAAAAAGTAGGAAGAGTTTAATTTGGAACTCGAGCATTCATAAGCACTGAAGTCAGTCAACCACAAGACACAGATCCATTAGGAAAACAGGCTTAATTAGCTCTTGTGCTACTTGTTTGTTTTATTTTCCTCAGGCAAGAAGAAAATACATGTTTTGTCCTAGATGCATTATGTAAATGACTTCACTCTTCCCATCCAAATAACCACAGTCCCCTTCAGTTTACTTCTGGTCTCCAGACAGTCATGGAGTGTACACACTTCTTGCTCGTCACTGGATGTTACTGTTGTTTAAACAAAAGCTGCAAACTTATCTTTTCTGCTGAGCCTGTGAGATTACATTTCAGGAAGAGAAGAGTGAAAGAGGACAGATACTTCTCCAGCTCATACTAACACAGAGCACACTCTCGCAAGGAAGATGCATCTTCCATTAACTTTTGTCTGCTGCTTTTGGTACTGATGCTGAAAAAACCCATGTCAGACTTTTAGGCTAAACAGTTTTGAGAAAAATGCATGGAATTCCAGGAGCTTTATTATTTCTGGAGAAACTGTCAGCTTATTCTCCCGAGTGAACGAAACAGCCTCTGCCCATCTGCAGCTCTCTGGATCTAACCCATGCCTCATTGTTTCATTAATACTGGGCTTGTTTAACACTTACAGCATGGGGATTGGGATTTAGGACTTTTGGTCTCTACTCCTGGTTCTGGCACTGCAATAGTCCTGTTTCCATGACTGCAAGCTACTGTTAAACTTCACTTACCTCTTGTAAGCTTTAGCTGAGTCATGCTGGAAAGTCCTTTGGGATCCTCAAGGCTATAAGAACCGCAAATGATCAGAATTAAATGGGACATTTTGGGAGGCATGGAGGAAGTTACTCAATTGTTCCAAGTTCCAAGTTACTGTGAATAGATACTGTGTAAATCTTTCCATCTGTCAAGTCCATTGCACTTCTGAAAAAGAAGGAAAGCTAAAGAAAGAGTCATACCTATAAAGCTAGTACAGCTTTAAATTGAAGAACAGGAAGGGAAAAAAAAAAGTATGAGCCTCTTGAGGGGTTTTCTATTCTTCCAGCTACTGTATAAAACCCATTTAATTGTAAGCACTGCTCAGGGGGTTTTGATATAAATTTTGAAATGCTGCAATCTGAACAGTCAATATTTTGGTGACTTGAAGTGATGGGAGGCATATGGTATTCATCCCTTCATAGGTGCTTGTAGGCAGACAGATATCAAACTTAATATTATCTTACCTTCTGTTTGCAGCAGGGAGTGATGCATAAGCTTTGATCCTGGACCAACTGAAATCAGTGGGAGTTTTCCCTTGTCCTGAAAAAGATGAGGGTCTAAACTTTAATCTCAAGTAGCTGTTAATATGAGCGATTTGGGGTACTAGCCTGGAAACACACATGGACAGGGTTTCAAGTGCTCAGTTCCCGCAGTTAGGACTAGATTTACTAAAGAATTTATTGTGTGGGATGCTTAAATATCCCGCTACTTCTTCAAGAGCCTAAGCTGGAGCTAACACATTTTGCAGTGTCGCTCGAGTGATGGGTACAGAGTCCTCTGAGCGTTCTGTCGCCAGGGCAGCAATTCTGCAAGCGCTCAGCAGCTCTGGGAGCACCCACAGAAAGCCTTATCCGTCTCAAGCTGGGAAGGTGGACTAGCCTTTAAGACCGCTTTCTACAACAGGAAAGATTGTGCAGATTTGGCTCAACAGGCCAAAACGGGCAAAATGTAACAGAATAACTTTGAAAGATTTTCCCTCCATTTCAAGGTTTTGTTTGGTTAGCTGAGCAAAAACGTAACACAAAACGCAGAATCCTGTATCTTGTCGTACGGCGTGTTTTGACAGCAAGGCCTGAACGGCTGCGGCAAGTCGGGGGAGGGGTGAAGTCCTGTGAGAGCTGGTTTAAAAATGACTGGTTTTTAGGATACGCGAGCCAAAAGTAAGACTAGCCATAACAGATCATGCCCTTGACAGGCCATCATACCTCAGCATCCATTCCCACGCTGTTTTCGCTGATTTTACATGCCCTGAAAGGATGGCTTCCACCGTCTCAGCTCACGCTCACCCTGCGGCGCGGCAGATACGGGTTAATCCGTAAATCTCCCTGTAAATGGATAACTGCGCGGTGTTCGGGCGGGAGCCCTGCCGTGCCCTCCCGAGGCGGCGCGGCCCGGGCGCCCAGCGCTCGCCTCCCTGC